TTACGCATTAATGCCATGACGTGCTTACAACGAGCTCTGCCTTTCTTAATGATATGAACGACAGCGAGATTGTCACAACGAAACAAGATCTTTCGTCTAAACCAATGTTTTCCCCACACAAAAGCTGCTACCCCAATGGCATAGAGTTCCAAGAACGCGGTACTCTTCATCAGAGTAGAGTTTGATCTGATCTCTGGGGGCCAAGTATCGGCGAACCACTCTCCTTTGAAAAAAACACCAAAGCCTGTAGATGTAGCTGCGTCAGTGAATAGTTCGATGTCGTAGGAATCCGTGATTCGGGTATCGTGGAAAAAGGACACTCCGTTCCATTGAAGAAGAAACTCTCTCCACATGCACAGATCTACTCGGCATTCCTTGGACAACGAAACGTGGTGATGTAGTTTGCTGACTGTCGTGGATAAGCTGATTAGATAAGAGACAAAAGCTCTACCAGGAGGTATCACTCTGCCTGCGTAATTGAGGTGGCCAAGCAGGGAGAGTAGCTCCCGCTTCGTACACTTTTTCTTGTGCATGAAGGTTTCAATGACGCTGATAATCTGCAGCACTTTGTCTTGGGGTAGATGAGCAGACATAGTAGTGGAATCCAATATGATGCCTAGATACTCTAATCTTGTTGTAGGACCCACGGTCTTCTTGGCTGATAGAGGAATGTTGAGCAGCTGGAAAACATAACGTAGGTCTGTCATGGTTTTATCCGCTGGGTAGTTGGCAGAATCAACTGTCAAAAAATCGTCCAGGAGGTGGAGAATATTCTGAACATGGTAATTGTGTTGGAGAATCCAGCAGAGGGCTTGAGACAGGTTGTCGAAAATTTTGGGGCTTGACCTGCATCTGAAAGCCAAACGTTTGTAGAAATAGTAACTACCGCGCCATTTGAATCCGAAGTAAGGCCAAAAGTCTTTCTGAATAGGGACCTGTTTAAAAGCGTCTCTAATATCGGCCTTACACATGAGCGCATTTGGTCCTAATTGCATAATAATACGGATAGCATTGTCTATAGTCACATAAGATAGAGAACATGTGTCCTTGTCAATTAATTCATTGATGCTATGATTGCTGTCGTTGTGTGGAGCGGACAAATCGAGAATCAAACGCTGTTTGCCAGAGTATTTCCCCACTGCCAGACCGAGTGGATTAATACGACAAACTTTGAAGGGAGGTAGGTGAAAAGGTCCACATACATACTCGTTATCAACCTCTATTTGAACTGCTGTATCCACGGCTTGTGGATTTCTCCTGGTAGTAAGATTATTCGCACATTCTAAAGTCACAGTTGGTGCTGCATTAATCATGGGATTGAATCCGGATGTAAATCCTTGAATAACGTAATTTGCGAAATCACGATCTGGATGTGCTTGGAGTTCATGTGTTAGGACACGAACATTCACTGGAGGGCTATCCACCAAGTCTTGTCATTGATCAGATTTGCGTTTATTCTGCCGGCAGACGGATTTACCGTGAGAGGTAGCTTGGCAGGTCAGGCAAGTATGTGCAAAATTACACCGTTCCCTGGTGCACCCGAGTTCATTGAAGTTATTGCATACTTCTCTGTTAGCATGGAACACGCGTGTGCGACCTTTCGAATCTTGTTCTCTGCTGGTTCGGGACTGATAGTGGATTCGATCGCCAGGGAACTTGACTGGCTTGAAGGAGAAGGGAGCATTAGGACATTCTGCTTTGATGTGATCTATGCTGTCACATCCGGAACACACTTTCCTCTTCAAATGGGCACAACAGGCATTAAAAATGTTAGTATCAGGTTTTGACCAATCTATTGGTTTTCCAATAGCTGCATAAGCTGCCACTCTCATGGCAAATCGCTTGTGGTACTCATAGTATCCGTCTGCTTCGTATTGGGCCGCGAGGTCTAACACATATTCCTCGTGAGATTCCATTTGTGCTTTCTTTTGAACATCTTGGCCACAGTAGATGTTTCGATACGTTCGGAATGCTTTAGTGAATTCCCGAGGAGACAAGGGTCTAGTCAGTTTAGGAGCTGTGTCTCCCTTACCGTCCCCGAAGTCGTGAACAGTGGTCAAGAGCAATGCCAGATTGACATATTTACCTGCCCGGATCTTTGTCACAAGTTGCTCAGGGACCAGATCAATTGGTGGGAGGGAATCTGATGACACCGCTGCCATAGTGTGTCCAACCTGAGGAAATAGATGTGGTCCTGGAAAAGTTGTATCTTGGGAACGTTGGTAGATGCCAATCTGAGACAAATCTTGACATGCAGGCGACGTCGCTGGAGGACCCTGGGCCGTGTGAGTTGGAGAGGCTATGTTGCCTGAAGCCAGTTGTTGTGCTGGAGATGACCGATTCTGTGCCAAGGTGTAGACAAGGTCTGTTAGTTCCTTCAACTGATTTTGGAGGGACGTGATGGTGGGTCCATTGCCAACATGATGATCCATGTCTAAATTAGCCTGGGAGGCAACCAGGTCTGGGTCTGCTAGTGGGTTGTCTGGTGCCCTACTAACAGTGGCAGCAGGTGTGGGCCGTGACCTCCCAGTAGTCAACCGCGTTGGAGATTCGCTGGATTCAACTGTATTCTTGTGGGGATTCTCAGTGTATAGTTGCAACAGCATCTTCCGTCCCCAAGCTTTTGGAAGTTTGAACCCCATGTCTTCTAGACGTTGACGCAAGCCTTCGGTTGTTAGGTAAGGGATCTGTCTTCTAGCCTGACGTGACCGTGAGGCGCTAGTCGATGTTTCTGTTTCGTCCGTTTCTGACAATGTATGTCGCCGTGTGCTAACTCGTGCGGGTCGCCTATTAGCCATTATGGATATGTGACTGTATCCGGGCACGTACGATGCGGTTTGGGACTAATAGATGAAAGTTACGTACGCAATTGCCCGAGAAAATTGGTGAAACATGGCGGACGAAGAACTGAGAAGGAACATAGAATACGCATGCGCAACATGTCGGAAATAATAAAGACCGTGATGCACCATGAATTAATATTTAAGAAATGGTGCCTGCGAATTATTAATAGAAAGGACAAGATATAGATGCTGAGATTACATATTAATACAAGAAAAAGATAATAGTTGATGGAATACGTAAGTATATTTAGGATTACGATAAAATTGTGAAGGTACATTATGTAGCTGTGAGACATTGGAAGTAAACAGCGTATAAAAAATAGACGGGATGTGAGGTAAACCGTGCTTGGATCTAACATAGAAAATGTTAAAGTAATTATGCATTGATGGATTAATTTAGGAATAAGGCAAGTGAGTAAAAGGGAATTAAAGAAATATTTAGTGGAATAATATTACGTAATGAAGGGTAATAGCTGATAAAATCGTAAGAGTAGGCAGGGAGGTAGTGGTACTTATTTCTGCACAAACAAAAATATTAAATTTACATACATTAACCCAGCACTGAAGTGGTGCCTTTTGCTATTTAGAGATTTTTGACATTTTTATTTTTTCTCGTTTCCATGGAGATAACTTGAACATAGACTCTGAATGGGGGTAAGCTTGGTTTCCGGACCATAACTCGGAAACCGTTTAATATTATTTCACGAAACTTTGTATACACATTAACCCAGCACTGAAGTGGTGCCTTTTTCTATTTAGAGATTTTTGACATTTTTATTTTTTCTCGTTTCCATGGAGATAAGTTGAACATAGATTCTGAATGGGGGTAAGCTTGGTTTCCGGACCATAACTCGGAAACCGTTTAATATTTTTTCGCGAAACTTTGTATACACATTAACCCAGCACTGAAGTGGTGCCTTTTGCTATTTAGAGATTTTTGACATTTTTATTTTTTCTCGTTTCCATGGAGATAACTTGAACATAGACTCTGAATGGGGGTAAGCTTTGTTTCCGGACCATAACTCGGAAACCGTTTAATATTTTTTCGCGAAACTTTGTATACACATTAACCAAGCACTGAAGTGGTGCCTTTTGCTATTTAGAGATTTTTGACATTTTTATTTTTTCTCGTTTCCATGGAGATAAGTTGAACATAGACTCTGAATGGGGGTAAGCTTGGTTTCCGGACCATAACTCGGAAACCGTTTAATATTTTTTCGCGAAACTTTGTATACACATTAACCAAGCACTGAAGTGGTGCCTTTTGCTATTTAGAGATTTTTGACATTTTTATTTTTTCTTGTTTCCATGGAAATAAGTTGAACATAGGCCCTGAATGGGGGTAAGCTTTGTTTCCTGACCATAACTCAGAAACCGTTTGATATTTTTTCGCGAAACTTTGTATACACATTAACCCAGCACTGAAGTGGTGCCTTTTGCTATTTAGAGATTTTTGACATTTTAATTTTTCTCGTTTCCATGGAGATATCTTGAACATAGACTCTGAATGGGGGTAAGCTTTGTTTCCGGACCATAACTCAAAAACTGTTCAATATTATTTCATGAAGTTGTAACATATTAACCAAGTCCTGAAGTGGTGCTTCTTGCTATTTAGAAGTTTTTCACATTTTATTTTTTCTTGTTTATGGAGACAAGTTTAACTTAGACTCTGTATTGGGATGGGCTTTGTTCCAGAACTAAACTCAACACCCCTTCAATATTTCTGTGTCTTTTGCTTATAATGAAATTTAAGAATTTGATCTTTTCAATATTATTGAATTCAAAGCAATTCTAGAATTAAAATATTGTGAATTATTTTTGTGGGAATGAACAGATGGGGTTTAACGTGAAGTAAACAAATGAATGGGGGTTAGGGGAGTGGGGGGAGACATATGTTTTTACGAGTAAAAACACTTTCTAGTTTATATATGCATTTTACCTGATGATAGGTATTACTTGCTAAACTATAATTATATGAAATGATGTATAAATATTACCCTATGATAACTCATAAAAGCACTTGATGTGGATCTAATTATTATAGGAAAACTTAGTATAAATGTAATATCATGATAAGATCATCATCTGCAACCAACATTGGCCATTGTTTGATGATGATGCAAAAAACCAACAAACATTTGTTTTAAATATTTGCAGAAAGTAAATTGGCCCAATCAAGAAGAAGGAGTGATAAGAGAGTACCGCTCCTTTCTGCTGAACCTCCTGTCAGCTCACACTTTCTACCTTAGAGCTGGATTGCGAATGTTAGTTCGGCACTTCTTACCAGGTATGTTATGGCAAGGTCCATATTGACAAACTACACAAATACAGAATAGGTATTTATCTGGGGGTCTCTCATTAATCAGCCCCATGTTAGATGGGAATGCTTTTGTCTGAATTCGATGCATAACTAAATCATCTTAGTGATGCAGACTTTGTTTGGAGTATATTTAACTGTTATGTATTGTTACAAAGTTATCCAATATTTCACCTAACATTCGTTGTCTAAACCGTGAAGATCCGGGTTAAAATTGGACTTTGGCAACCCAAGCTTGTCATAAGAGGCGACTATCAAGATCAGGTAGTCAGGCTCGCTGACTTGATTGATGCATGTCATTGTATCCAAATTGCACAGATCAATGCTCATGATGTCAATCATTGGATTGTCAGATCCAGACTCGATTATTTATAAACTGCCATCATACAGCTGGAATATTTCTGAGTGCAGCATAAAATAATAAACAAAATATTTTTGCAAAGTAAGAACAAATGTAAAAATTATGTTATTGTTTCTTATCTTTGTCGTTAGGCCTCTAAAAATATTTGAATATTGATCAATGCTGACAGCAGATGTTATTTAGATGGTTATCTTTGTTGACATTTTAAGTTGTTGACAATATATAAAGGTGTGGCACTGAACTATTATGTTTTTATGTTTACAGACACATCAGAAAGTGAACCTGAAGCTGAGACCAAGGCACTTGAAGATAAAAAGTATATCAATATACACCTTGTGCTGAGAGCAGTATCATCGCTCATTCCAATGTAAGCTTACAGTGTTATGTTTGTCTGCTGATTTCCATTATCTTTAAGCTCACCCCAGCAGAACTTCTCTATACAATTGGTCTACAATGTTGTCTCAACTGGTAAACAATCCAGTAAAACTTATATAATGGTGCAATGTCCAACGTTTACAAATTTAATGCTCAAAATAGAATTTTTTAACTTTCCTATTTCATACAATGTATTTCTCATTCTTCTTTCGATCTTAAGTGGAAAAGTACTTAACAAAGGTTTGCAGCTTCTAAAAAAAATCCACCCGAACACACCTATCATCCCTATAGTCCCCGAGATCCAGGTACCCATGCTTGCCGTAATAGGCAACTATGCTCGTAAGAGGTGACTAACGGGATCAGGTGGTCAGGCTTGCCGACTTGGTTGATGCATGTCATCGCAGCCCAGTTTCATGGATCGATGCTCATGATGTCAATCACTGGATTGTCTGGTCCAGACTCGACTATTTTAAGACCGCCGTCATATAGCAGGAATAATGCTGAGTGCGGGTTAAACAACAAACAAACAAACACCATCCTACAAACTTTAGTGGACAGAGAATGGATATATATATCAGAAATGCCATACATTGACTCGCTGAAAGTCATATTTGTTGTAGTTTGACTATCATATGTCAACATAATTATTTTTGCTATCGCGAGCGCGGGAGCATCAATGGTGATTGGTCAAATTGTTCCATATGAAAACATACCCGGCAAAGCTGTACCAAAGTGCTATGCTTATGGTTATTAGTTTACTTCAAATACTGTAAATCTTGAAATTAATGCAAGCATGAATTAAATGCGAAAAATGGTCTTTGCTCGCATTTTTAAACATCGCATTTATATCAACAATAAGACATTTTGGATAGCAAAAATACAAACTTAGACATACACTGATGTATTCCACACCACTGTTTATTGAGCAGCACTTGTATATAAAGTATATAAACAATGTCATTCAAACACTAATTACGTCCTGTGAATTGTCACTGCTGGGGTCAAGACAAAGAGTTCTACTCACTTATGTCATCACTGATCACACCTGCAAGTCCAGACAGACGCCACCTTTTGTTCTTTGCGACTGCATCAAAGGCCGACACGAGCGAGCGCACATGTATTGTTTTTGCGGAAGTACTTTACTCAGCGCTAATAAGCGGTGTGATTTGGTGTGTAAGGTTGGATTAAGGTGAGGATTCTAAACATGACTGAGGACATCTTTAGATAGAAATCCACTGATTCTTGAGAGGAGGGGGTGTCGCATTCATATTGAGTCACATTTTTGGCTAGGGTCCAGTGGTCGCATTCTTTTGGAGACGCATTAATTTCACGATTTACAGTATATATAGTAAAGCTGCAACTTAAAAATATTGGAATAAATTATTCCTGATAAAATAATAGTTTCAGATACAATTCTTCCAACTATTGTATCAAAATTCTACAAAGTTATATTATTGGGTAATTTTTAACCAAATCACCGGTAGATTCTGAGAAATGAGTGCACAGCTGATGGTTGCTTCTGGCTTAGTTTAAGAGACAAAACACACAGTAATCTTAATCTCTGCATGTAAAACAATGCTTAGCAGAACAGGAAATGCAATTTAATCAGTAATTTATCATGTCTAGTGATGTTTTATCTCAAATTTCAAATTTGTATTGACCAAGTATAATTGTTATGATCGGTTCGTTTCCTTGAATTTGTTGAAGGGATGCTATGTTTTCTACAGAAGACAAACATGTTTTTATTGCAAATGTAGGGATTGTGTATGTGCTGGTGATGTGCTTCATTCCGATTCGCTTTATAGACGGGGTATATAAATTAGCATCAATTTTGAAGGCTTGTACAGGGGGGTCGCCTTACACATGAGGTCGCTTCTAGACAGCAATGTAGGGTATCTTATCTCACACTTTCCTTCTTCTTCGATCCTATATGGAAACGTCCTTGAACCATGTTTCCAGCTTCTTAAATAAAAACATTCACCCGAACACCCCTGCCTCTCTATGGTTGCAACCAGAAGCTAGGTCAATTGCGTGCTTCCCATGCACGGCAAGCCTGCCTGAACTGACCACATGTACACCTCTACCAATTCATTCTCTTTCTCATCACCACTGTGTGGTGACGTTTTCTTACGTTAAGAGAAATTTGTTTGTCCTTTGCCATGTTTGTCAAGTATTCTACAGCCTATAATTATGGGCAAAAACGACAGACAACGACCTGCTTGTAAAAAATACTTATTCTACACTGGACCCTCACTCCTTACGTTGTGACTGTCGCGGACACTGCTCCTTGGTCTCCCGATGTGCAGAATGTCATACCTTGTCTGATTCTGCCTTTCAAGTTTGTGTCCAACGATGTCGTCGCAGAATATCCGATCTTCATTCTAAGGCAGGAGATTCGTCTAAGAAATCTAAGATCTGTTCTTCACTTCAACCTGAGGAACACTTACTTTCTGTCACTGATGAGACGATCTTGGACAGTTTTCTCACGGATGATTTTTCAAATCCCAACCTGTTGAATACTCCTAATCAGGTCGATCTGACTGATCCTGATCATGCTCTCGTTCAAGCGACCGGTCGCTCCGCTCCATTCAAGTACCGCACTTGGATTCAGCTTGTTCCGCTCCTCCGGCTGATCATGATAAGGTCATTGGTTCTGCTACATCCTGGAATGCTGCCAATTGTCACACTTCGGATTGACGATCGCCTTCTAAGGAGAAGGATCGGCGCTCCAGCTCCCAAGATCAGCATTCCCACTCCCAGGATTGGCGTTCTCGCTCACAGGATTGGTGTTCTTGCTCACAGGATTGGCACTCCGATCGGGTCACTGCTTTCGCGCTCCAACTGATACCCGTCGACTTCATATGACCATTCTTCATAAAGCTCTACGACAGGGATCAGTCTTCTGTTGTGGATTATCACCATAGCGGTTATCCCCACGGGAACTTTCCAGCTGTTGATACCTATGTGGATCATCGACAGGGATGGGATGCTTTCCCAGTTTATAGTGACCCTTACTACCAGCGACCCGGATACCCTTACCCAAGGTTTCCCGATTACCGCTCTACTACCAGCTACACTTATTCTCCTCTGCCATCCTTTTATGGAACGTCTTTTGTGTGACAACAACCAGCGACATACCCCTAAATCTGAGGATGGCCGTTCGTCAACACACAGAACGCGAAAGTCGGAGCCATTCTAGAAGCCGATCTCATTACGTTCACAGATCGCCAGATCGTATTCCCTCTTGTTCGGCTCCTCCGGACCCTTGTCGACCTCTACCCACAAGTTGGGATCACCAGGATCAACAACAGAGTACAGTCGCCTACAGATGCAGTTCCGGTTGCTTCCCACTCCATCCCTCCCGGATCTGGTGGTTCAGCCTCTGCTTCGGGAGACCCTAGTCTATAGGTTCAACCAACTGACAGCCCATGCCCACCAGGTGTTGTTGACCATCACTCGTCGACTCCCTCCTTAGTCGACAGTTTTGAACCTGCGGACCCTGGATCAGTCCTTCATTGATTGCTGACAAATTACAGTTATAGTGTACAACTTAGGCTGCGGATCAGTTCACTGGGTTTACAGTCCCATCGGCTAGCTCGTCCAATATCACGCTGCCTCCCAGACCAGTCTTACTGGCAATTAACATCTTCTCTTTGTCTGCGTGATTGACTCCATGTACCACACTTCGTTCTTTAAGATACTAGGCACTCATGGCCTGTCTGCTACAATAACCTCCCTAGATTTTGATAGTGACATATCTACTCTGTCTCAGAAGTGCTTCACATCATCTTACGTGGTTGAAGATTGGGACCTTACACACTTGGATTGCCGTACACTCCCTTTTGTGTCTATGATTTTTTCATCTATGGAAGCGCTCTCCATCTCTCTCTCCACTTATTCCCAAAAGGACGTCTTTATTCGAGGATAAACTCACACAGATCCTGGACCTCCTCTTTCACCATTCCGTCTCCATTACAACTCTTCATCGCCGTGGTGTACTTCAGCACTCTGCCTGGGACGATCAGTTCCTGCTTCCTGCTCCTTTTTTGCATATGCGATCCAGCAGTTTGCTCAGGATGTTCAAAGAGACTCTAACCTCCAGGTCACTGTGGACCTTTTGCGTCTCCAGAAGAGACAATTGGAAGATCAGGAAAAGTTAAGATCTGAACTATCCCCAATTGGTTCCTGCCCATCGAGATCTTCATGAACTTCTCTCATCCCGGCCTTATCCCTTACGCGGATGCAGATGAGGTTGAAAAGGACAACGGGACTCGAGACCCTTCTCGGGTTGATCCGTCTCCTTTTCCGGATCCAAGGGCTCCGTGTGGTTGCCAAGAAACTGACTACTTTTCATAACGACGAGACTAGGAACTTCCACCTACAGCCGTTCCTGTTACAGCCACATCTGTAGGTGGAAGACTGGGGCTATTTGCAAGCAATTGGACCATTCTTGTTGACTGCTTCATGACACATGACACAGCTACCACAACAAGGTTATCGACTACCACTGACCGCACCACCACCTACGACATTCAAACCCCTACACAGAACGTATCCGGCCAGACAGTTAAGGAGGATGATCGATGCTGTAGGTACGTTACTAGCAAAAAACACAATTGAATGTCTCGGAACACTTTCCCAGACCCCCTGGTTTTATTCCCCCATATCTTAAACTCATTTTCAATCTGAAGATCTTCGATGCTTTGTACCTAGAAACCCTGCCACATTTTCATTCTTCCCGGGCGATCTTATGGTCAGTATCTTATCTGCACGTTTCCATCCTCCGGTTTGTTTTTCAAGGCCACCACTACCAATGGAAGGTGCTTTTCACCCACCTTACCCAGCCCATCACGAAGCTCCTACATCTTTGCGGGGTCGTGTTCAATTCTTATCTTGACAACTGTATTCAAGTTCAGATGCCGATTTCCTCCGTCAACAACTCGACTTCACGCTTCGTTTTCTCAGACAACTCGGCTGGCTAATGAACATACA